CCGGGCGCCGGGTTGAGGTCGCGACGTGTTTCTGGGAGGGGGGAAGGGAGGGAGCGCTCCGTCCCCGCCTGCCCCGCTTGCTCGGCCTCCAGCGCCTCGGGGGAGCGGGTCCGCGCGGTCTGCGGGCGCGGGTGGCGGCAGAGCTCTGCCCCGTGCGCCCGCGGGTCCCCCGCTCGGCCCAGCGCTTCCCGGAGGAGGCTTCGGTAGCTCCTGGGAAGCGCCGCTCGTCCAGTCACCGCGTCCGTCGGAGGACAGCGGCACCGCTCTGCAGAGCAAACGTGGGACCCTGTGCTGACCGCGCCGCTCTTTCGCTTTCCGTCCGGACTGTCTCCGTGGCGGGAGGCGGGTAGCGCGTTTCGGGTCAGTTGTGGAGGGTACTCACAAAAAAAAAAACAGCGAGGAGGCGTTGCCAAAAAAAAAATGGAAATAAGTGCTGTCCAGCCTGTAGTTCTTCACGGTTGGTACGTAAAAGCTGCAGTCAGCAACAGGTGGTGCAGACTGCTCAACGGCAAACTCTGACTTAGGATGTCACTGCAGGAGTTTAAAAAAAAAAAACCCTGAAGAATTACTTTGGCATAAATAAGCTTGTGAAGCATTATTTTCCCCAAGATTATAAAGCGATACAATAGAAAGCGGCTGCGCGGGATAACGTCCTCCAGCTCATTGTCTCGCCAAACTCCTGTAGGAAATTGGATCGACAGCATTATCTGTAATAGAACAAGCCATCTTACAAGTCTATTTCCAGACTTCGTGCCCTGTGCTTATTTCTGTGGTCGCGCTTACCTTCTAAATTTTGCACAAATCAGAAAAATAATGATGCTGAGGGTGAAGACAATATTGACAATGAAAACTTAATCTGGAAAACATTAGCCCTGTACAAATACTTGTATACGTTATGGTTATAAGGCAGTGAAAAATGTTGTCTGCAAATTGTTGCAGGACTTTGGTTGTTTGCTACGAAGTAATGTGGTGTCAACGGTGTCCCCCAAACTCTTGGACCAACAGACCGTTCATCCTCCTTGTCAAACGTGTAGTTGTTTGGCAGTGCTTTGTGGACTTCAGTCTAGGGACTACTGCCGTAAAGACTTAATCACTAGTTCTGACACAAGCTGCATGTAAAAGGCTTTTTAGAAAACATATTTTATTTTTATTAAGAGAGTATGAGACTGATAAATATATTCTGAACTAATTCATGAGAAAATCAATCAGGCTTGAAACACAGGCTGCATTTGCCAGATTGAAAAAAGCAGGCCTTGGGCAGCGGAACAGAAACCATAACAATATGATGAAATAGAATACGGTATTAACTGTGTTATTGTGGCTCTTCAGGAGCTGTACATAACCTATGTTGGTAGTGTACGTCACTGTGATCTCCATTTCTTTGTATCATGGTAAACTAACTTGAGGGGACGAGGATTATGCAGTCTAAAAACTAGTAGTCATGCTGCAAGTCAGCTTACTGATCCTTTCCAGAGTGCAATTAGATCAAAGACCGTATTTTCAGTTGCAAGCGCAAAGGTCATCTTTTCGGTGTGTGCTGAGGTCAATTATGCTGTACATATGTGAAAATGTCTGTCATAAAGCATGGTATGCTCATGAGGTACGTGTTTTATTCAGACTTGATTGTTGCAACCATTTTTTTTAATGTTGAGATAATCCGATGGGTGCAGTATGGTTGAAACGGAAGGAGAGAACGTGAATATAGCGCTATTTTTCTTGGACAACAAGTTACTGGCTTAGTGCGTTTCTCTGATTGTGGAGGTTGCTTGTGTGATCTGATAGCAACATGGAGAATTTTGAGCTACTGAGTTTAATATTCCCTATCATCCGTTCTGACTGTCCTGAAGAATTAGCATACCTTCTTTTACTTTCTGCTTGCTGTTGTAGGAATTTTTATTTGCAGTAGTATCTTGATGAATATTAATGGTTTACTGTTTGAATAGGAATCTCCTTCCACCGTTGTCCTAATTTGCCTCCTTTATTTCCTTTCCTTAAGAAGCGTTACTAAAGAAACATCTTGAAAGTTTTTGCCCGTGGACTTCTGTTATAGTGATTTTTTTTTTAAAAAAAGATGATTTCAGAAGTTCTCGGCCTACTTCTCAGTCCTCTAGGTAACAGCCATGATCTTTTTAATTGCTGTGAAGTCACTTGTCTGACTTTTAACGTGGTACGCTTTGTGATATAGCTAAAGAAATAGAGGAACCAGCTATTCTGCTGTTCTGCTTACAGTTCTGCATAACTTACCTTCCCACTTAGCAATTGTTAGGCAGCATGCCCTGCCACAAAGAAGTGGGAGAGGAAGAAGGATTTGGGGTTCTGCTATTTTATACACTACTAAGTTTTACTTCTGTAGAAACGTACTGCTCCATACCTGGGTGTGTGTGGCTGGCAGAAGGGGTTTTGTGTGGACTTGGAAACAGGATAAAATCTACTCCTTTTAGCCATGTCAAGCTGTCTAATACATCTTTTAGCTTTTCTGCTGTTAGTGGGATTAAGCTGTTCTTGAAATCAGATGTTCAATACACGGTTGCTACTTTTGCAACCATGAAAAAGGATGTACCACCATGAAAATTAGTTTAAGTTTGAGTGATAGTGTGAACTTGGTGGCTGCCTTTTACTGTTCCCAAAGTTAACTTTCTTCCTTAAGATTGTATGTTAAGTAAACACTCTGCAGTAAGAGTTTTAAGTGTTTTTAATTTATATGAGAGCAAAATTGAGATCCATTCTACAGGAATCGTGCTAAAATAGTGTAAAAGTTACTAGGTGGTTTTCAGCTACATACAATTTTTTCTACCCCAAGTCCATCTGAGCTGGCTTCGTGGTTAATTTTCTCTACCTGCTCCAGGAAGAACATGCTGTTGGCTGAAAAGCTGGCATCATCGCAATAAAAGTTGCTGAGGTACATGTCATGGGGTAATAAAGACTGCCAAGTAGGTGGAACCCTGACATCAGATACGCTTGGTATTGCACCTGGATCGTGTGACGGGAAAACAAGTTAAAATATAAGGAAACAGAAGATGACATAAATGTAGGAAAAAATGTTTCATTTGGCTAGTACTGTGTTCCTAAGTGATCGATTGGTTATATGCATGGGAGAGGGCTCCAAATATGTATGCTGTGCTGTTCCATTGTGTGGTCCGAGTTCATGTTTATTGCAATGATTATTGTTGTAAACTTTAAGTAGATTTAAAATTGATTACATTAAAGACTTCTGAATCTTATTTGTGAAGTACTTTTTCGTACTTTTTATTGGAGGTCTTTTAAGAACAGGTTAGACAAATGTCTGTCTGAAATGACGTAGTTGGTACTGCCTGGAGAAAATGGGAAGGATTAAATGGGAGTTGCCAAACATAGTTTATGAAGGTATCACAGGTTTGGGTTTCAGCAGTAGGCACATGCAGAAGGAGGTGTGCATCATATCCTGTGCTTACACCTCATTATATCCTAATTAAAATTAGGATCTCAACATCAACACTGAGCATCAGAGCCTTGAAACAAGATGACCTTTTAAGGACTGTTCCAGCTGTATCTTCTGTAATCTTGTGGTATTCAGTCTGATTGTTTTAAAGACGTGTCGGTGTCCTTCAGCTTGTTCTTCTAAAAAAAAAAAAAAAAAAAAAAAAAGCCAAAACCCCCCTCACTTCTTGTTTGAGCTGTAAGATATGGCTTTGTGGCCTAGACAGGATGTCACTTAAAATGAGGAAAGCTAGATTTTTT